TGTTGAATTCCGGGAAAGCATTCAAGTTGGTTACTCCAGCGGTGGGGGGTTCAAGGATATGGAGAGTGATGTCATTGGAATTTCCTTTACGAGATACCATACAACCAAACCTTCTTGTATCTATGGCCGTGACGTTCTTAATGACGAGGGAAGCAACTCCAATATCGTCATCAGACCAAAAATAAACTCTTTGTTCTGGATCTTCCAGGCTCACAATGTCTCCGTAGATTGGATCCGAATAAATGGATTCTGACGTTTCTCCGACTACCATGTCGCCATACATACGATTTCCAGGTTTCCATGAGCATAAAATGGTCACTTCCTGCTGCCAAACAATTGGACCATCATCCATTGATGGGAAAACGGAAAGTTGGATGTCATCGGTGTTACCCATCTTTCCGTTGTCATCACTTATAACTATCAGATTGCATAGTGTTTGCAATACCACTACAGTGATGCAAAGTCTTCGTAGCATATCAGCTGCTAAAACAGTGAAAAATTACTTAAAATGTGCAGCGATGGTTTCACGTATCTTTAAAAGTAAAATTGAATGAACTTTAATCGAATCATATAATACTTATTATAAGATGTATTGACTATTGATACTTTTGTTTTGTACCGAGCAACTCTTAAAAATCTAAATTACATATTTGTAACTTGAATATGAAATATGTTTGAGCAACAAACGAGAGTGTGAAGAAACATCACCAATTTAATGAAACAGAATCAATGTCAGACCACACCGAGCTGCATCAGCACAGATGAAAACTGCACTTTCATAGCTTTGAGTTTAGAAAATATAAACTCAACCAATCATGAGTTGTGGGGCGTTGTAGTAATTTTCATTGGAGCATCGAAAGCAGCTGCTGTTGAAGAATTGGGCACAACAGTATGATCCAACACGTGCTTTGACTTCAATAACACATGCTTTGACTCCTGTGCTTTTATTCTACATTATCTGATGGCAAATTTATTCTTTTAAACTGGTTGTTGAGTTGCTCCGTTTTTATTAAAAGTTTGAAATGTTTTTTCTTTGTGATTCACGTGGTTCAAAACTTTTCAGCGCCTGGTATAAAGGTAAAAAGATGGTTGTTTCAGCACCTGGTATTTCAGTTCAGTAATTACACTTTTCAATACGTTTGTGCTCGCTTATCAGTTACTTATCATTACGTTGATAAGACTTGCTTGTTTAACCGGTGCCGTGGTTGTGTGATGTATAAATCGGAGAAATACGTGGCTTATAAGCTTGATGAAGTGAAAGATGATGCAGCTGAATGGATCCGGAAAACTCTTGGGCTTGCTAAAGTAGATCATGTTAACGCGTGTGCAGTTCAGAGTTTCAGTGGTAAAAGAGAAATCTCCAGGGAAGTCATGGCTCAGAGTCTTAACGCTGCGTTAAAAGTTATGTATAGACAGTCGTTGTACATTAATCAGCTAGAGAAATATAATCAGAAATTGCATTCCGATGTAATTGACAATCAGGGGACAGTAGTTGTATTGCAGAAAGAGCTGCTAGTTGCCAAAGACAAGCAACTTGATGACTTGAAATCTGTTGTTGTAGCATCAGTCGAGGATACTGTGAAATCAGAGTTGAAGACATACAGCGCCGCAGTACAGGCATCAAAAACCTCAGCAGCAGGTCCTTTGTTGCATTCGGATAGAAACATTTTGAAGAATGTCATCAAGGATGTTGTGGCAGAAGGAGACCGAAGTCGGAATCTGATGTTATTTGGTATTAAAGAGGAGAAAGGTGAGCTGTTATGCGACAAGGTCGCTCAAGTGTTGTTGGAACTTAATGAAAAGCCAAAAATAGAAGCTAGCAGAATTGGTTTGAACAAACCCAAGGATAAGAAACAAGTGGCTGACAGACCTGTTAAGGTGACTTTGACGAGCTCCACAATCGTGCAGCAGATTTTGACTAGAGCAAGGCATCTCCGTAGCTCAGAACGTTTCAGTAAAGTTTTTATCAGTCCAGATAGGTCTCCAGAGGAACGTGCCGAACAGCAAAAGCTTGTTTTAGAACTCAAGAAGAGATCAAACGACGAGCCAGATAAGAGACACTTCATAAAAGGAGGCAAAGTATGTAGTGTGGACAAAATTGTTGTTTGAAATGTGTTAAGACCGAGTTTTGCTTGGATTTATGGATTCCTGGTTCGCTAAGATTTTAATTTTTTTTGATAAGCTTCTAAATCATATTCGTCTTTCAACACAAGACTGTCAGTCTTCTAGAATTTTGTTTTGATTCGTGTATTAAGCTGATGTATTTAATCTTACTTCCAGGTCCATAATTTCGTGTGGAGTATATTTTTAGAGTTATTTAGGTTTTATATTAGCAGATTTAGGTATATAATTATTGTATATTATTGTATGTATAAATTCTTGAGTAAACATTAACCAGTAAACAAAGCTGGTTCCCAAAAAAAAAAAAAAAAAAAAAAAAAAAGTATAAAGATGGGCGTTTCATGTTATTGTTTTCTTGAGTGATCTTTTTGTTTTCACGTTTTTTTCTCTCTCTCTCTCCCTCTCTCTCTCTCTCTCTCTCTCTCTCTCTCTCTCTCTCTCTCTCTCTCTCTCTCCTTCTCTCTCCTTCTCTCTCCCTCTCTCTCTCTCTCTCTCTATCTCTCTCTCTCTCTCTCTCTCTCTCTCTCTCTCTCTCTCTCTCTCTCTCTCTCTCTCTCTATCTTTCTCTTATCTCTTGTTGAGCTCCACAAAGGTTGTCCACATCAATGCTCTTTTCACCATCTGCTGTATAATAGAGAATGTTTTTAGAGCGCCTCTATTCACTATTTATCTTCTGAAACGGCCAACATTATACTTTTTTAAATTGGGCCTTCTATAAACAGTCTTGGAAGAAGGATGACCAATAAATCGGATTTTTTAGAAAAACGCTGTGTTAATATTGAAAGATGGCTGTACTTCAACAAGATAATACTGACAGTTAAAAATTAAATTCCGAATGTATGAAGAGGAGGATACCAACCTCCACCAATCTATTTTACGCAGCTTTTTACCTTTCTGGCTATCCAATAGTACTAAATGTAACGAACAAATAACGAATCACAATGGGTTTTGGGGGGTAGAACTTTAACTCAATAAGTAATATCAGAAAAAATCGGATTCCTACTGAGTCCCAAACAGATAAAGGTCATCGTTAACAGCAAAATGTCACTGATTGGTCTGAAATAAATAATATGGCCCAGGGCCCTTCACAAAGACAAATTTGAGTACCTGTGTCACAAATTCAACCACCAATATATGTACTATCTGAGCTTCCATTTGTGGTTGAACATTATCAATAGTCAGTTTCATAAGACACTACACTTGAGCCAATACATCAGCTCAGGGATTTAGGTGTCAGAGTGTCAAGTGATGTCTCTTGGTCCTCTCACATACGAGCCATTGCAGATAAAGCTCGCCAAAAAACATCATGTGTTTTCAGTGTATTTCACACACGATCTCACTCCATCATGCTGACGCTATACAAATCAATGGTTCGATGTCTGTCCATTATCAATTATGGCATCCCTCAAAAATCAGCGATGTTCAAGAACTGGAGAGTGTACAGAAAGCATTCACCGCCAGAATATCAGGAATGCGCGATCTCCACTACTGGGATCGCCTGGTCTATCATATCTATCTCTAATGTCTCTTCAACGAAGGCGGGAGCGATTCGTCATTCTCCACATGTGGAAAATCCTCTACGGAAAGACCAGCAATGATCTGAACGTTCTATTTGTTTCACGCCCAAGGCTTGGAAACCTTGCAGTAATTCCATCAAAACGTAGAACCACTTCAACAGCAAACCTCACCTTGTTTGACAACTCATTTGCAGTTCAGGGTCCTAAATTGTGGAATGCAACGAGCGAGACTTTACTTCGCTATGGGGTGGTCAGAAGATGTGATGGCCCCGTCAAGTCTTGACGAAACTCAACATAGGTCACATAGGTAGGTAGTTGTGGCATATCTAGGTTATTGTAATGACTTATACTTTGGTATCGGCGAGAAGCTATTACTACAAAATGCTGCAGTCAAAGCTGTTAAGTTGGGAAATACAAACACGACCATATTTTTTGTTGTTGTTTTTAAAACCATCTTGAGGATGACCTGATCAATCTTCACTTACAAAACCCTATGCCATTGCCACTTCATAAGTAATGGAACATAGTTAGTTGCTTAAGATTATCTTACACATTTTGTTTGAAAGCTTCTAAAAATGACAGCCTGTCGTATCGATTATATAATACAAGTCCAAAATCCCCATTTCGTAAGGGACATCTATTAGCTGATGCATTTGTCACTGATACCGTTAAAACTCCATATCTCTAAATGCAGGTATTACATAAGCATGCCTATACATATAGGTATGTATAGATTCCGACTTGTGACAGTTTTATCAATATCACCTCCTATGTTTTAATTAAATGTTGACGCTTTAATCAGGGGTGGTATGCCTCATTTAGTAGGTTTGTTACGGAAATGTAAGTCTTTGGTTAATGTGTGTTTTCGTGTTACCACCTGACTTTCTATAAGACAAATTTATGGGAACATGTCACGGCCATGGACTATAGAAAATTGAAAACTATGGTGGCTTTTTTCATCGGCTACAACTACAAGCCAAGATGTGTTAATATGACAAGGAAGAATAAACAGAAGCTGTTACAAGCTATCGAACATTTCTTATATAAAACTTTTAACTTCTTTAAACAGTTGGACAGTTACAAACCGTGAGTTAATAAGCCTCGCGGATATTTTTAATAAATTACCCCATTTTAAAATCAGGACCGTCTTTGTGCCAATATTTACTTTTCCGCCGACCCGCAGATCAATTAGATTTTGGCACCAATTAGACGTTACTTCTGGTCAGCAAACCACACGTCCAGCATTAGCCACAGTAAGACGTTCACACATATAACTTTCCCTGCCTGAGTAGGATGTTTAATGTTGTAACCTGTCATTTTGCCTGTTGTTAATGTATCGCAGTTTTGTTTAAATTAGTTAGCTACACCAGCTTGTTTGATCCTATGAATCGTATTGATGAAGGTCGTGGTCTTCTCTGATTCGGAGAGTGTTGTGTCCTACGCGTCCTCAGTCGAACCCCTCCCTGTTGTAGACTCTGATTCGGAATCGGAACGGTATGACAACTTCCAACTTAATAAGGATATCATTAACAAGGAGTCCCTGGGCAGTAAAAGTCTCGTCCCTCCAAGATATACACTTCCCATCCTCGCTACAACCTCTTTCCACTCACAACCACTAGATTCTCCCCCAATACCGCTTCAAGTGAAGTTTGCAGACCCCGCAACCAGCAGCGGATCAGACCACAGTACTGTCAGAGAGTTGGGATCAGGTGATGACAGCTCTGAAAGTGATGGGATTTACGAAGCTCAGGAAGATATACGGTTGTCTAAATACCTGAACACTTATGAGCCACCTCAGACAACCTCCAAAACTAATCTGGGCACTGAAAATCAGAACTCCAGGACAACTTCCTGCTGCGCCTCATGTGCAGGTTAGTTTTTATGTAATCTATTTTGTCTGCGCAGCATCGACGACAATCGGCATCGTACAAATATGGGAAAAATGCGGCTAAAAATATTCGTTTATGACAATTTATTTTGCTTTGAGGATGTAGCTTTATTGTTTTTGATTTTGTACACGATGTTATTGGCTCTAGCTCTTCAATGTTGTCTACACTGTGCAATCCGACTGTAATTATGTAGTCACATCATCAACTGTCCTGTAGTTGTGATAAAGTAATATCAAACCTTATCTGCATAGAATAAAATTAACAGTTAACACTAACAATTTCAAGCAAACATTGTCGAGTAAATAACTTGAATTAAATTTAAAAAAAGAATAAAGTTTTAGAAGTCTTAGAAATTAAATTGATTCGTAACGATCAGGCTGAAATAAAACCAGTAATGTGATAAACTTTATCACATTACTGGTCAGTGGTCAGAGTGACCAACATGCCCCTCTTTGAAGGGTGCCCCTCTAAACGCCCCACGTTGGTCAGTATGTGATAAAGCAAGACAAAGAATCATAACTGAATGTAATCTTTTAATTTCCATCCTATTTCAGTCCCAAACTTTAGTTTTAATATTTATACAAAGTCTACATTCCTCTATCTAGAAATAATTAGTTTTGTTCTCGTTTCCGAATATTGATCATGTTTAGCGAAGATAGACACATCTATTTTTAGCTCTCAGGATGTTCCCCTGCTTGTGAAGGCATGCTACTTGTTATAAACTGTGTTTTATCGCATTTTTACTGTGTTGCACCGAGTATTATTCGTCATAGCATAATCTTCATTCCTTACATGTACCATTATTAAATAACTTGTCAGTGATTTAACGTAAATCAGCAACTCTTGACTGGAGATTGATACTACCAACTATTTGAGCATTTTACGCAAATCCTCCTGTGATCAAACAATCAAATTAGTGCTACTAATTCTTAAATTTCAATGTCAGTATCCGACATCAAGGTCGCCTAAACTTACTATTATCTCAGTAAATTTGATATACAAAAAAACACGAACAGATCAAAATGAGGCTAATATACGCCTGAAATGGGAAGCTAATACCCGTCCCAGGACTCTGAGAGTACATCATTCACAAGTAACCTGATTATAAGAATATTGAATTACATGATTGGACCCAATACCGGTGATCAGAAAATGATAGTTTATATTATACTGGTCCTCCGAACGAATACCTTGCTCTTGTTCTCGTGTTTTGATATGATTTAAACTGCCTTGCTTACCCCCTGATCTTTGTTTATATGTTTGTTTGGTTTATTTTTTCAATTTTATATCGATGAGTGCTTCACTAATCAGAAGTATTAGAATGATGTCTGAATTGGTGGAATTGGAGCCGCAATACTCCCGGATAGAATCGCTTCAAAGCATATCTAAACGTAAGTTTACTTTTTTGTGCTAGCCTAAATTGGTCAACTAAGCAGTTGGTTGCGCACAGTAATTTTATAATTTAAATGTCTCGAGTGTTTAAAACCTTTTCTCCGTGGAAATTAAAAACGAGATATGTACTTCAATCGTCTTCCAATTCCCTTGCTCACAAACTTGCCTCCAAGAATTGGGATCTCATTGGATAATATCTGGTAGATAATTATAATCATAGATGAGAGTATTTCAAGTTTGGTATTTATCGTCTGCCTTTCTCTGCGGAATGATCACCAGCTAACATTACCTACGGTATTATATCAGTCATCAGCGCGTCTTAGGAGAAATAATTATGCTTCATAATTTACTACACGATTTGTTCTGCCTTGTTCTTGTATATATCAGAGGTCGGTTGGATCCAGGCAGATTTGTGGTACGCATTGTGCTAAGTATGGAAAGGAATTGGTTAATTGTTTGCTAAATTGATCTGGCAGCAGGTTTATATTTGCTTCTGTGCTCAGCCATTGTTCACTGAAATATGAGCTCAATGATCTCCTCCCCAGACCCCACCACTGGTGATGATCGTGTTGTTGACGCAGGATTATGTCTCCTTTTCTCCTGAGCCGATAAATCCTTTAACCTTACTTTGAGAAGCATGTCCTACCTGTCAGATCCCTCTGTTAAACAGGTCACGTGCCTGCTTCAGGCGGCTGTAATTGGCTGCTAGCCAGGAAATACCGCTCGCTGATTGGCGGGTGCCCAGGTTTAGAGTAGCTCACAAACTGCTAGGTGTTGATACGGAGAGAAACGTTACAGGGTTTCACCGGTGTCGACTCTCCTAGAGAGAGAGAGAGAGAGAGAGAGGGAGAGAGAGAACTACTGAGGGTATTATATTGAGAGATACATCGAGCAACTGCTCACGTAGTCAAATTTCTTGTGAGCTTGTTACCAATGCTCACTCTCAATGTACGCTTTCAATCTTTCCTTCTGTTTCTTCAGTTCTGAGCGTGATTTTTAATTTTGATGTGATTTGTCTCCCCAGATTAGATAATAATAACAGTGTACTCGGTTTTAGATTTCATTTTGGTTTACCGACAAAAATAGACTGTAGCTGTTATCATAATATATAATATATTAATATCTTATACATAGTATAGTACAGTATACAGCGCGGCGCTGTAATATTCTGTATTTCATAGCAACACATGTCATATCTCGCTGCAGTTTGTTCTATGCCTTGCACTGACTTGTCTCTGGTTGATAGCTATCCTGCATAATATCTAATGCTTAATGTGACCAATTACCTGATTACATACGCCGCGTAATTTGTCGAACTTCTTTTCTTTTCGATCCGCCCAATTTTGAAAAGTGTGTATTTTTGCACTGCCGTAAGTTTCCACGATTGTTTCCGCTTAATGATATGTACAGGAAATGTAGGAACTTGGTCATGTTACTGTTTTTTTGATAGGAGTAAATTCTCAGCTCATTTAAAGTCGCCATGCCTTGCTCATCTGACGACTGCATCGAACAGATAGCACAGTTCGTGTGCCATCAGAGTAAGTTTTATTCACTTTCATCTTTCATTCTAGATCTTCTAATGTTGATGCACGAAGATTTGATATCGCAGCACTTTTCATTAATAATTATCCTCTTTAAGATACAAATTGAAAAGCATCTTTTATACCGTGTCATTCTCTGTTTTTGATACTGGCCAATATTCAAAATGATAATTTCTGTACGATTATTAAATATACGATACGTTGAATTACCATAGCCACCTTCCCGTGAAAGAATTTTGGTACGAATATACATTATACATTTTATCTGACATATTATGTAAAATTTTGGGTTTTCTTCGAGTGGCTTAGCAATTTAATCATATCAAATTACTTGTTGTCCTTCATAGAATAAACTGACATTTTAAAATTCAAGCTGATTTGCCTCAAAATTAGGTGTTAAACCATGCTAATTTAAAAATCACCTCAATTCAAACGCCGTAAAATTATTCAATAATTGGAGTGGGAATACAGATGCCGAAAGCTTGTGGGCCATTTTAATTTTCTAACTCTAAACAAACTCCCAATTAATTCAAAAAGATACCTGTCATTAACTTTCAAACACATGTCGGAATTAGAGTGCTTTCTGCTTCTCATTTTACATCGTTTAAAATTATCTTATCCTCCTGAATTATAGTACTACAGTCTGTAGGAACCTGCAAGGCATGCAGTAATGTTGGAAGGATAATAGAAATTGGAAATTATAATGGTTGATGTACCCCTCAATGTGGCTGTCTGTATTGGCATTGTTTCCGTTAATTGTCTATTTTAATGATAACAAAGCATCGCTAAACAAAGGAACACAGACAGGTACTATTGTAATAGCAATTCGCATGTTCTATACTTCAGTTTGAGGTTTTGTGGCGCAGCGATTATTAAATTATTTTGGTATTCGTCAAATTTAGTAGTCTTTGTACAATGAAGTATTCAATTAAGAAAACTCTCACTTGAGCTCTGAAGTTGCAACAGTTTGTTTTTAAACTTGAAAACCTTAAGAGTTACTACTATGCAGTTCTGTGCTTCCCGACCACTGCCCAGTAAGTTTGAAATAAAAGAATAAGCCGCAACATCCTAACTACCTTTTTAAAGTTTGCCTTTATTGCAATGTTATTGTAATATTAAACGTGGTGAAATAATCATGTATAAACTCAACAAACTGCGTCACACAAACCATTATTAATGTCAATAAACTGATTAAAGTTTAGTTTCTATTTACTTAGTGTCTACTCATCTGTTGATATTTTTATTTGTCTCTCTCTAGATTTAAAGTTACAAGAAATATAAACACTAGAGACTCCCATTACATTAGTTACTGTATGTGATATATTAAATGGTAGTAATTAAACTTACAACCTACCGCGTGTGAGCTGTTAATAAGTTTTTTAACACATCACCAGCATCGACTAAGTTTAAAACGGCTCGAAACCTTGTCCTTAGCGCCGCGCCACCAATACACACGTGTTGTCAAACAACGATTCCCGCGCTGTTTATTCTGGTCTTTAATAGTGGTCCTGTTGACAAACCAGTAAATATACATGGCATAATTAATATCACATATATAATATATAATATAAAGTGTACAGCAAGCTAAAAACGGACATTTCAACAACTTCACGACGCCCAAGCTTGATTCAGCTGTTTTTGCAAAGTAGCGAGGGACTTTGATGTATGATTTGGAAATGACCCACTAATTGAGCAAAAATGTACAGTTACCCAAAGCGATAGATATAGGACACAGGTGTCAATTTTGGCTGGTATTACAGGTAAGTCGCGACTTGCGAGTAAGCTGGAGCATGCCGAGACGCTAAAAAACATCAAGCCTTATATAAAACGTTTATAATATTTTGTCAAGTATGTCGTTTATAGGTTGTTTAAAGCGGTAGGTATGTGACATTTGAAGGCTTAACATATGTTAGTTATTGGATGTATGTGTTTTTAGGAAATGTTAAAAGGTCAGATTTACTGAGCAGCCATTATTTGTAGAGGGGTTGTAGAGGGGTAGCGCCACCCCCGTTAGCGCTACTTGTAGAATAGTAGAGGGGTTGACACCTC